ACACACACACACACACACACACACACATACATACACATATACATATTTATTTTAGCAAGACACACCTGGAAGAGAAAGCGCGCAGTCTGGGCCTTTGTCCTCGCATGGCTCACGTACCCCGAGGCCAACAGACTACCGTACTCGAAGCTGTGGTCCGCCCTCCGAACTCCGCCCACGATGCTCCCGTCCTTCACGATAGCCTCACCACCCCAGAGTGGCGGACACCTGTACATAGATGGCTGTGATAGTGCAAATGAAGGGCAAAGAAACATCGGTATTATTATTTTTCCTTTTATGGTTCAGTTCTAGAGAGCAAAAACAAATTGTATATTTACAATCAACTCCCGAGTGGTTAAAATCATGAGCAACATAAATCAGTCACAAATGCGTAAATTAGGTTGATAATAAAATCAGAATAGGTTTCTAGGGAGAAAATACTGATATAATAAATATAATTTGTATGAACTAATTTGCCTAGATTGAACTTAATTTAAGTTTTCTTAAGGAAGAATAGTTTGCTGATGATCCACAGAGGAAAAATCCTGAAAAAATGAAATATTGAATCTTGTATGCAGACGAATACTCACCCAGGCACCTCAAGTAGGACCCTGGACTTGGACACGCCCTCGACCGCCTGGCACAAGAGAGCAGGCCGGCCCAAGAACTGGCGTTGGCCTTCGCCTTCATTCTGAGTAGGACTCCACACGCCCGCTTCAAGGGGAGTATCGCCCCTCCGGATATCAGAGTTCCAGCTGCAGCTCCCTGAGGAGAGAATGTGTTTTCATACCATTCAAAATGTTCGTGAAGCCATATTTTTGTACAGGAAGATATAAAAACGTTTGGCCAAAAGATACGTGAACTTTATTCTGTATAATTTTACGGACGCGAACCTTGTTCCAAGTTGATGATATTAAGTGCGTAGTAGCCCGCGTTGATGGGCCTGCAGCTGTCGCTGAGAGCCGTAAGCGCTTCGTAGACAGCCAAAAGATCCTCGACCTTTGCATGGATCTCCCAGCACGCAGGCGAACGTCCGCACACACGCACTTGCCTTCCTGCGAGACTGACGAGCTGGTGGCGGCTTGGATAGATGGCTGTCGGGTCGATGCCCGTCGCTTCCAGTACCTGCAGGCTAAAATTAAATAAAGATGAGAGAGTTGCATACGCTAATAAATAAAAGAGAGAGAGAGAGAGAGAGAGAGAGAGAGAGAGAGAGAGAGAGAGAGAGGGAGGAGAGAGAGGAGAGAGAGAGAGAAAGCTAACTCCCCTTTTTACAGTATACCCTAGTTCATACACGCACCTGTTGGGTCCATACAAGGTGAGAATGCCGGTTTCATGAGTGACGGACTTGATGGAAGTACTAAACCCTTGTCTCCAGCACAAGTCCCGCAAAAGACGGCTGACGATTGGCCCCATCCCGCTGCCGCATGTTACCAGGTAGTTAGCCTCGCCGTCACACTCTAGTCTGAGAAAGACGCTTATTTTAGATATTTTTCCGACGAAGTCCAGTATACATTGATCAATCCTTCATATGAATTATTTGAATCTGATAAAAATTAGTTAAAGCACTGCTGAACGATTTCTTATCTTTATTTTTTAGACCTTCCTTTCCTCCCTATTTTTTTCTCTCCATCGAAACATACCTGCTTGATGAGTATTAATTGACCTTGATTTGAACAAGACTCACCTTGTATCCAGCAGCACCAGTGTCCACTTCTCCCGGCACTTCTATCCCCCAAGGACACACCTGATAGGTCAGTCCAAAGTCAGTTTTTAATGACCTTGACTCGAATGAGGCTCACCTGGTAGCTGGATCCAAAGTGTAAACAGCGACATCAGCTTCCACGCCTCCTTCCGTGTTCAGGACGAGGGAAGACGTCACAAAGCCAGGCTCTCGCTCGACGTCACTAGCAAACAACCAGTCGATGGCCTCGTCGACGCCCGCCCCGGAGAGTAGCATCTTCCCCGATGATGACTGATTGATGACGGCTGAATCATTTCTCATGGCGAGGTATTCGTGTTCTATCTGTTTTGTAAAATGCGTTCGGATTTATAAAGTTGATTAATAGATTTAACAAAACCTACACTGTTGATTGATCATTGACGTCATTTTATATATGATACATATATTTTATTTTCTTAACTACGCTTTCCTTATTTTCTATGATTATGTATCGTGTTTGTAAACAGATGTCACTGATCATAATCTGATGATTTTTTTCAATATCTGCTCAGCCTGGAATTATGAAACAGCTCCATCGCAAAATCATATCTCGATATCTAATGTTAAATACGCAAGAACCTACCTGTTTATAGTATTCCGGGAGATCAAAAGTATGCGACTGCTGCAGAATGTCTCTGTAGGGATAGTGTTCGCGAAGTGGGAAGCCAAACGCCCCTCGCCAGTCGTAGCCGAGCAGCGGCGACGCGGCGCCTGTGAAGAAGGCGGGGCGCTCCCAGCCCTTCGCCTCCTCCCAGAAGCACCCGGCGTCCGTCAGTGTCTGTTGGAATTCGGTGAATTACTCCGCACTATATATATATATATATATATATA